CTCATCAGACACTATTTGGGATTATTTCACTTTAAAATTAATAAAATTTCAAGATTAAATTGCTTTTCTACCTTACAGTAGTTGCCTAGTAGACAGTGATCAGCTCAGGCCAGTATCAGGGAGAGAGATATGGATATAACCAAGAAGCCTTTCTCTAACATCACAAGTGGTCCTACACAGCTCCTTTTTTTTTTTTTTTTTTTAATTTACTCAGAGACCTAGCTGTATTTGGTTCTGCAGGAGTTGCTCGTAGTTTGTACAGATTTATGTTTTGATAGTTGTGGGAATTCTGTCAACCTCTATTATTTTTGTGTCATATCAAAGATTGGTTATGAAGGAAAAAGTCGTTTTTTTGGCTTGTCAGGAATTGGCAGTCATCTCCATTTGGGTTCCAGTTTTTTCTGGGAAAAGCCTTTTTTCAACATATGGAACAGTTTTTTTTCTGTCAATAAATTTTCAAAATAGTCTACTTTCTTTTTTAAAAAAAAATTGGTGTGATTTAGTTGAAAGTTTACAGAACAAATTCATTTTCCATACAGCAGTTCATACACATTTTGTCTTATGACTTTGACTGCATCTCCACAATGTAACAGGTCTCTTCCCAGTTCCTCCTTGTAGTTATTCCTTCCCTATGCATTTCTTCCCTCTGAGCTATCTCCTACTGCAAATCCTGCCCATCTGATCTCCCATGAATGATTGTCCTAAGGAATGTATCTGCCTGGTGTAAGTGTTCACCCAATATGCCTTTCTATTATTTGGCTGGACGCCATGGAAGTGAGTTCATTTCCAGGCTTGAAGGGTAACTAGGGGCCATGGGCTCTGGGGTTTCACTAGGGTATATCAGACCAGTAAGCCTAGTCCTGTTTATGATTTAGAGTTTTGTTACACATTGTTCTACCACTCTATTCAGGATCTCTTACACTCATCCCTTTCAAAGTGGTTGTCTGTGGTAGCTGGGCACCATCTAGTTCTACTGGTATCATGGTCATATAGGCTGAGGTTCACATGGTTCACTAGTCCCTTGGCCTGATTGTTTCCATGTGCCTTTGGTTTTCTTCAGTATTCTTTGCTCTGGATGAGGAAAGACCAATTGCTGTATCTAGATGGCAAAATGGTCTACTCTAATCCTTTGCAGTACTCACCTTATTTAAGATTAGTTATTTAATATCTTTTCCCTACTCTTCATGCCAATATTATAAGCTTTTTGAGAACTAAAGGCATGTATGTGTTGTCTTTTATCTCTGGCTCTTATAGTGGCTGGCACATTTTTTGTTTGTGTAGCACAGTGGTAGCATAGTGGCTAAGGCACTTGCCTGCTAACCAGATGGCTGGCAGTTCAAACCCACCAGCCACTCCTCAGAAGGAAGGTTGGGCAATCCTACTTCTGTAGTGATACTGCCTTGGAAACCCAAGGAGGGGTCGCTGTGAGTCGGATTTGACTCGACAGCACATAACAACAACAGCACATTAATAAAGAAATTAATAAAAATTACAAAGAACAATGGAGACTTCTAATCAATAATCAATTTTTTTCTTAAAAAAGTATTAGAATGTTCACTTACAACAACTCTCTGGAGTTGTTTGAAACTTGGATTTCACAGACAGAAAAATTTTTTTTTCAGGATTGATGTAAGATATCCATCTTTCTCATTTTAACATGTAAGAATGTAAAAGTAAGTATTTTGTTCTGTAATTATTTCAAACAAAAATAAAAAGTAGTAGGAATAGTCTTTAAATAGAAAATCAGTAGTTTATAAATTGAAAGAAAAAAATCCATAGTTCTGTATTTTTCTTAATTTCCTTTATATTCAGGGGAAACCTTAAACAATTTAACACTGAAATGTAGGCTAATATTTGGGAACTATTGATCTAGGTCACAAAGTTAGTAGATAGAATAACTGAGAGTAGGTCCCAAGTTTCCTGACTTTTAGGTCTCAGTTTCTTCTACTATTAAAAAATACCTTTAGTAATTTAGACATTGCTCTTTGAGTTTTGGCTAATACTTTAAAATCCGGTGGCATAATGCTTAAGGCATTTGACTGCTAACCAGGAGGCTGGCGGTTCAAACCCACCAGCCACTCCTTGGAAGGAAGGTTGGGCAACCTACTTCTGTAGTGATGCTGCCTTGGAAACCCAAGGAGTGGTCACTATGAGTTGGATCCGACTTAACGGCAGTGAGTTTTTAGTGACACCTGGTGGCATAGTGCCTAAGGCACTTGACTGCTAACCAGAAGTTTGGCGGCTCAAACTCCCAGCCACTCCTTGGAAGGAAGATTGGGCGATGTACTTTTGTAGTGATACCGCCTTGGAAACCCGAGGAGGGGTCGTTATGTGTCAGAGACAACTCGATGGCACATAACAACAACAAACAACATAGTTAAAAGTTGGGATATTGTTGTTAGGTGCTGTTGATTTGATTTTGATGCATAGCAGCCCTATATGCAACAGAACAAAGCACTGCCTGATTCTGCACTATCCTCACAATTGTTGCCATACTGGAACCTATTGTTGCAGCCACTTTATCAGTCCATCTCATTGAGGGTCTTCTCCTTTTTTCTTGACCCTGTCTTTTACCGTGCATGATATCCTCCAGGAATTGGTCCCTTTTGACAGCATGACCAAAGTACATGAGGCAAAGTCTTGCCATTCTTGCATCTAAGGAGAAGCTGTACTTCATGCAAGATGGATTTGCACATACTTCAAGTAGTTCATGGTACATTCAGTATTTTTCACTAGCACCACAGCTCATATACATCAGTTCTTCTGTGGTCTTCTTTATTCATTATCCAGCTTTCACATGCATGTGAGGTGAAGGAAAATACCATGGCTTGGGTTAGGCATATCTTAGTCTTCAAAATTATGTCTTTGTTCTTTAACACAAGTCTTTCGCAGCATATTTGCCTATGCAATCCATCTTTGATTTCTTGACTTCTGCTTCTGTGGACATTGATTGTGGATCCAAGTAAAATGAGATTGTTGACAACTTATTCTTTTCTCCATTTCTTGAGATGTTGCTCATTGGTACAGTTGTGAGGATTCTTGTTTTCTTTATATTGAGGTGTAATCCATACTATACTCTTTGATCTTATCAATAAGTTCTTCAAGTCTTACTCACTTTCAGCAAGCAAGGTTGTGTCGTGTGCATATCACAGATTTTTAATGAGTCTTCCTCCAATCCTGATGATGTGTTCTTCATGTAGGTCAGCTTCTGGGATTATTTGCTCAGCCTATAGATTGAATAAGTGTGGTGAAAGGATGCAACCCTGATGTGCACCCTTTCTGAATTTGAACCATACAGTGTTCTCTTGATGCTCGTGAGCACAGTTAGTGTTCCAGAATTCCCGTACTTTGCAGTGTTATCCACAATTTGTTATGATCTGCACAGTCAAATGCCTTTTCACAGTCATGTAAAACACAGGTAAACATTTTTCTAGTATTCTTTGCTTTCAGTCAGGACCCATCTGACATCAGCAATGATGTCCCTCATTCTGTGTCCTCTTCTGATTCTGTCTTGAATTTCTGGTGGTTCCTTGTCAAGACACTGCTTTAACCATTTTTGTATTCTCTTCAGAAAAATTTAACTTATGTGTGATATTGTTTGATAATTTCTGTATTCTGTTGGTTCACTTTTCTTTGGAATGGGTACAAATATGAATGCTGAGTGTGTTCTTCCCCTTTGATTTTCTAACTCCAGGTCTTCGTACATTTCATTATAATACTTTACTTTGTCTTCACAAACTGTTCTTTGAAATCTTCTGTTCAGCCCTTCTACTTCATCATTTCTTCCATTCGCTTTAGCTACTCTCTATGCAAGAGCAAGTTTCAAAGTGACGGTCTCTTCCCTTCCTTTATTTTTAATGACTTTTTGCTTAGATCAGAATAGATTCTACTATTTTTCATTTTCTTTTTTGGACTTTTTCTAATTTGGCCTGTGTATGAAAAATAGTCTGGTCCAAACAGTCATTACCATCTTTTTCATTTTATTTTCAACTTTCACTTGTGTATTTCACATGCGACTTGAAGTGGGCTATAAGAATGACAATCTAATATAGTAAAAATAATGATGAAAAGAACTTAGAAGGTATGTACATGTACATATATGTGTGTATGTGAAAAATATGTCAGGACCAGGAAGAAGTCAGCATGTATCAATGTATATACTTTTCTTTTTCTTCACCAAATGTTTTTCCATATTCTGTCTTTTGTTCGGCTTATTTTCACTCAAATCTGGTATTTTCCCCTGGTTTGATTAATGCTAGGGATTAATTGCTTGATTCTTGATAGCCAATTTTAGATCTTTACACTAATAGATAAAAACTGTATTTACTTAATTGCAGGCCCAATTATAAACACTTTATATTTAGTCTTTACAAAAACTCTGTAGATTTTACATTATTATTACTGGACAAACAAAAAAGAAACCCAAGCATAGGGAAGTTAAGTAACTTGTCCATGCTTACCCATAGCTAATAAGTAGTAGTAGCAAAGCTGGAGTAGTACAAAAGCAGGCAGTGTTCTAAAGCTCAAGCTCTTATGTATTGAGAAAATACTATAGAAGGCCTCAGGTTCTCTTAGAAATTCTTTTGATGATAGAAAGTAGGATTCATTTTTGTATTTTTTTATACTGTGTTGGTAGAATATGAGTGTATAATCTTGAGTGTAAAATGAACAGGTGTGCCTGGTAACAATAGCAGAAAAGTGATATCCAGTGGGATATCACTATCTCATACTCTTCTTGAGAAAAATGTTACATCATTGGACTGAGATTAGAAGATATTGGCACGATCATTTAAATCCTTACTGGTAATTAAACACTAGAAAAAGGGGTATGAATATAAGTTGACGTGTGATATCTCTTCTTAAAATTCCTTGAGGATCATATCAGTTTTACTAAATAACTAATTGATTTACCATATTTCTTTATATATGTATGACAAGCTTATGATGCTTTTTACCATGGTGAAAATGACTTTAATTTTTTTTTTCCATTTACACTTTAGTCACTGCACTTTTAAGGAAGCTTAAGCAGCAATCCAGGGAAAGTGTTGAAGAAAAACGACCTCGATTATTAAAAGCCCTGAAAGAGGTAGGCTATGCTCTTTTGTTGACTTTTAATCTAAAGAATAATTGTAAGTTTATGCATTTTTTAATATAGTTCTAAATTCTCGCTCTGTGCTATTGTAAGGTTTTAAAGAATAACTGTATCATTATTCTTTTATTTGTAAAACTCCAAATTTATTTTATTATTTCCTACCCTGTTTATAGACCATTGATAATAACATATTTTTAAAAAGAAAAATAATAAGCAGATATAAGAACTGTTAACTAAAGTACATTTAGTAATTATTCATATTTTATTTCTCAGCTAGGTGACTTTTATCTAGAACTTCACTGGGATTTTCAAAGCTGGGGTAAGAATGTGCTATGTTTTACTATAAAATACATATTTATGCAGAAATACAAGTGTAAAAATAACTATTATGTATAAATACTAGCATTACACATTTGACACTTGAATGCAATAATTTTAAAATCCTATACTAATAATTATCCCAACCTGATTAGTGACACTCAGAATTCTTAAGGTTGAAAACTGCTTTTGTTTTAAGACTTTTTAAAACATTTTTTTAACAAAACAGTTTAAAAAGATAATATGACATTTTTAGAAGTAAGAATAATTATGGGATTATTGAGTTACTAAATTGAAAGAAGTTTGAAATATGGTTTTTAGAGCCCTGAATGTGAAAATTGACACTATATGATTATATTTATTTTATAATCTTTCGATCATTTTTGCAGCATATTAGTTTTCATTGCAAAATACATACATCTGACCACGTTTTGTGTGTGCGTGTGTGTGTGTGTGTGCGCGTGAGGGGATGTGGGGCCACATTGGCTGGTTCTTCTCTCTCTTGGACTAGAAACATGAGCTAACACACACTTCTTAATTTTTTTTTTTTTTTTTTTGCTAGGTTACCAATCTCACAACCCTATAGTACAGAGTAGAAGTGCCTCATAGGGTTTATTTTAATTCTTTTTTTGTTTGTTTTTATTGTGATTTAGATGAAAGTTTATGGAGCAAATTCATTTTCCATACAGGAGTTCATACACATTATGCTTCATGAAACTGACCATAATCCCCATAGTGTAACAGCTCTCTTCCTACCTCCTCCCTATAGTTACCTCTTCTCTGTGTCCTTTACTATGCATTCCTGCCTCCTGACCTATCCTCTGTGCTAATACTACCCTTATGTTCTATGATTGATCATTCGAAGGAGTATATATCTATGTAGTATAAACATTCATCCTATATGGCTGTCTATTCCAAATTTTGTTTTTAAAGATTTTTTTATTTAATATAATCCATAAAGATTTGAATATAGTGAGCTTACTTGTGCTTTTAAAAACATCAGAATTAATTTTTTTTATGATGTAAAATGTTGAATGCTCTGTGATATTCATCCCCAAAATAATCATAAAAACAAATCAGGTATTGACCACCATATGAAGTATATTTCGTTTTATGTAAGTTTTGTATGTTATATAATATGTGGAGCTCTGGTAGCATAGTGGCTAAAGCACTTGACTGCTAACCAGAAGGCTGGCGGTTCAAACCTGCCAGCCACTCCTCGGAAGGAAGGTTGGGGCAATCCTACTTCGTAGTGATACTGCCTCGGAAACCCAAGGAGGGGTCGCTATGAGTCGGGGCCGACTCGATGGCCCATAACAACAACAACAACAACAACAACTTCCATAGCTGGGTTGGTTTCTGGGTTATATCATCATGTGTATGAATGGTCAGTTGTTGTTGGCTGTTGTTGCTTCTCTGTCCAAAGGGCACCCTTTAGCATCTCTTGAAAGTTGGTCTGGTTTTGACAAATTCCCTTAATTTCTGCTTCTCTGAAAATGTCCTAATTTCACCATCATATTTGAGGAACAGTTTTGCTGGGTACATAATTCTTGGTTGGAAATTTTTCTCTTTCAGTGTTTTATATATACCATCCCATTGTCTTCTCGCTTGCATGGTTTCTCTTGAGAAATCCAAGCTTAGTCTTACTGGTTGCTCCTTGTAGGTAACTTTTTGTTTTTCCTGTGCTGCTCTCATGATTCTTTCTTTGTCTTTGGTTTTGGAAGTTTCGTGATGGTATGTCTGGGTGATTTTCTTTTGGGGTCTCTGCTGTTTGGGGTTCGTTGGACTTCCTGAATGGATATATTCTCATCTTTCATCATACCAGGAAAATTCTCTCCCAACAAATCTTTGACAATTTTCTCTGTGGTTTTATTTGTCTCTTCCTGTTCTTGAATTACAATGACATGTAGTTTATTCCTTTTCGTGGTATCCCACATGAACCTTAGGCTTTCTTCATTTTGTTTTGCTCTTTTTTTCTGATTTATCCTTTCCCAAAGAAGTGTTCAGGTATTTGCCTTCAATCTCCCTAATTCTGTTTTCCCTTGATTTAATTCTGCTCCTTTGCCTATTCAATGTCTTATCTATTTTTGAAAATTTAATATTAATCTTCTGGATTTCTGTGTGTAGATTTTGTATCATTTCTAATTTTTCATTTATTTTGTCATTTTGTTCTTGTATTGTCTTTCAGAATTGTTCTTGGGTTTTCTCTGTGTTTTCCTTGATCTGCCTCTCAAATCATTGAAGATACCTAAATATAATTCTTTTGAATTCCTTATCAGGGAGTTTCAATGCTACGTCTTCCTCAGGGGTGTGTTTTGGGTCTATATTCTGGTCCCTTGTTTCTCCTGATTTATCTTGCTGCTTTATGTGGACTGTGATGCTCTGTTGTCACTGAGGCATTGTGGCATTGTGACGTTTTTGTGTTTATATTTAATTGGTGATTGTGTGTAGGAGTGACTTGCCCACGACTTTTGTTTTCTTCGTATGTTATCTACACAAGCAGGGTACTGTGCTGTGCTCCTCTGTTTGCTAGTGGGCAGCACTTACACACTCACCAGCTATCTCCTTTCCTGTTGTCAGCCTCTCGTATGTCCCTGCCAGCCTTGGAAAAGAGAGCCTATTCTTAGGTCGCAGGAATCCGAATGAGAATGCTATCACTTTAAAATCCAAAATGGTTGTCACTTATAAAGATTCACAAGTCTGTGCCTTGGTCACTTTAAATATCCAACATGGCCACCGCTTGTAAACATTCAAAATGGCTGTGCCCTTGGTCACTTTAAATATCCAAAATATCTGCCACATGTAAATAATCAAAATGGCTGTGCCCTCCAGACAACGGAAAGTCAACAGCTCAGGTTGTCTCTTACCTTGCTGTTTCCCTTCCTAATCGTAGGCCACTAGCTCAGTCATCCGTGCAGTCCTTGGTGACCAGGGCTAATCTTTAGGTCAATTCTCAGGTTGGTAGCATAGTGCCTAAGGCACTTGACTGCTAACCAGAAGGCTGGTGGTTCAAACTCACCAGCCACTCCTCGAAAGGAAGGTTGGGCAATCTACTTCCTTAGTGATGTTGTTGTTGTTGTTGTTATGTGCCGTCGAGTCGGCCCCGACTCATAGCGACCCCTCCTTGGGTTTCCGAGGCAGTATCACTACGGAAGTAGGATTG